GTAGTAGTAGTAGTAGTAGTAGTAGTAGTAGTAGTAGTAGTAGTAGTGGCAGGGTTCATCGATGTTTGGAGCTCCAACCTCGCGTTTGGTTGGCAGTTCGAGACCCCAAATGGCTTGTTCTGGCGCCGCAGTTTGGTCGCTTGGGGTCGCAGCCCAAACCTCGCTTTCTGGCGTCAGGCATTGCAGAATGTGCGCCCATTACGTGCCTTTTCGGGCGAAGAAGCCATGATCGACAGGCGCCTCGCACTGTCACCGGGTGTTCTTTTTTGAGGGAGCCAAAGATAGGACTGAGTGAAGAACTTGGACGATGTTTGCATATTCAAGCAAGTCAAGGTCGATTGCGAATCGGACTACAAGTGATGGAAGAACCAGGACAGGATGTAGACGTGCAATCAATGTATATATTGGTACGTTCAGGTGTCCTTTCCAGAGTCTGCTTTTTTTGGAATCATTGGACAACGTGATTTTCGAAATTTGGGTTTCCAAAGCAGAATAGACGATACAAGATGAATGTTCCTCCACGGTTTCTCATCATTTGCTTCATCACGCCTTAAATGCCGTCATCCTTCAACACCATGTCGGTGACCTTCATTTGGGTCTCCGGTCTTGGCCGGAAGCATTTCGCCAAATCCCACGATGGATCACGGTGTCTCATGGCCTCACCGCCCCGGCGCCGGTTTTCGCGCGGCAGATATCGCCACGAATCCGCGAATCTCATCTTCCTGGAGCATCAGAGAGCCGCTGCCTATGGCCTCTACGCCACCTTCTACAACGGCCTCACCGAGGGGATCAAGGAGTGGAGGGTGTGCAGAAAACAAGGGCATCAATGGGCATCAACGGCGGGTGCAATGGGAGTAGCCGTCCAAGGGAGTTTTTAAACGAGACATGTAGATTGTTTCAAGCTAGGCTGCTAGGCTGGTTGAGGGTCTTCAATGCAGGAGACATCAATGCTTCTTTGTTTGCCCAACACGTAGTATGTTGAATCAGATCTTATTATTTGTGAGGTTTGGGAAGCATGCGTGAAATGTGGTGAAGGTTAATGAGTCCGGAGTCCTGAGCAAAAGTTATTGTCATGGAGAGTTACGCTTGAGTACAGCCAATTTTAAAGGGCGATGTAAAATTGTAATGAATTGACTCGATCACAGCATGAGTTGATCGTGTTAGGCAGAGCATTGAGAAAAGCATGCATCAGTTCGATCGATTTTTGAGGGTGAATTCAGACACGATCTAAGGCTATGGCTCTTAGGTTGGAGGCCATCTTTATATTGTGTCTATTCAAAAACGCCTTTAGTCCATCAGCCATCCAGCTGAAAGCCCAGTGAGGCAGTGGCTCTTGGCACTGGTGGAGTCCTGGTGGCTCGCGGCGCTGGGGCGCCGAGAAACGGTCGTGCCGTTGATTCGCATTTCATGGTGGAATCTTATAGTGCAATCTGAGTGCAATCTTAGGGATTCATGACCTGGTGGTCTATTTCATGGTCTATGATCTTCATGGTTCTCGCACTCATGATCCGCTGGCGATCGTTTTCTTGCGAAAGATTGGCCGTAATGGGTCGTATTGGGCCGCAGCGTTCGGTGGAGGTGATCAGTCCTGCAGTACTAGGAAGAAAGAGAACCAAAATTGTTTCTTTTGTGCTTTAGTGTCCAAGGCCCAAGGTGTTTATTCTAAGACATGAGCAGAGGAAGCAGATGAAGCAGCTTCCATGTGGCGGGAGTTCTTTGACCTACCAAATCTGCGAGGGACACCGCAAGTGCCTGGAGAAATGAATTCTTGTCGCCCAGAGCTGCTTGACTTTCTTGGTCATTCTGCATGTGATTTGGGTCTGAGTGCTTGTCCAATATCGTCAAATCCTCAGCACGAACCTTTCAACCCCCAAACATCTCAAATGCCTTTAGCCTTTCCAAAGCCACTATTGACTAAAGCCACGAAAGGTTGGAATTGCAAATGCCCCTATTGATGTGACACGAACTGCTCGTGACACGAAGTGCTCAGGGCATGACACCGGAGCAGCTGACGGCGTCTTTTGGCCAAAGCGGTTTGGGGCAACTTCCGTGTCCCTTCGCTGGGACTATATTTAGTCGGCCCTTGGCCCTTGGTTCGATAGAGGCGCTCGATTCATCTCCATTCATTAGTTGATGGTTTTGCATTTGCTGTAAAGAAAAGCCCGGTTTTGCTAGTGTCACGTCTCTAATAGTTGCGACCCTACCCAGACTTGCCTCAAGTTTGAGTTTGTTCTTATACTTTTTAAGGATCATTCAGCTAGTGAGCCTTTTGGTTTCACCATTTTTGTTCAGCTTCGACCAGCTTTGACCGAGCTTGCCCCAGCATCCAACAGGTCCCCAAACGAAAACGGACCCCAAAACGGACCTGTTTGGCAAGCGGCCCAAGGTCAATGCTCTATGTGGACAATGTCGTGGGTTCTTCCTTGTCGGTGGGCGGCCAGTATAGGCCACTCGGGGGCCGATGTGTGTCCTACATGTTACTGTTACATCATGTTACATGTCAGCGTCAGAATTAAGGTTTTGGGGGATAGTTCCTGCCAGAACTCACGCAACTACAATGGAGCTTGTGTCCGTGACACAATACCTGTTCCACAATCTTTTGCGGAGCCTGCGTGCGATTTCACCGATCAGGAAGGTTCCCCCCAAGATGCGGGGATGTCAGCATGCTTGACCTCCCAAATCCTCCTGCAATCACCACTAGCGCAGGCAGCTGATGCAAGCGATTGGGTCCTCTCGGAAGGCGCCAGCACGGGCGCTCGCGCAGGGGCGCCCTTTGGGGATGCGCCGATGCGGCAAATCTGTGGAGAAGATCTGTAATTAATACTTTTGCTGCACCTTCAACGAGTTGGGAAGTAGGGCAAAAACTCTGTGTTCATTTGTGTCAAAAAGGATTGTGTTAAAAGGGAACTTCGGGAACTTACTGTACAGCTACACTCTTGTTTCTTGTCAATCATATTGGTGCGTGGCCTCTCATCCCAATCTCGCTGGGAAAACAATCATTGTTTACCGAACGAAAACATGGTGAGGTGAAAGCATTGTAGCGAAAAGGAAGTGATGAATCCCACGAGCCTTTCGTCCGAACGTTTCGGAACCAGGTCTTTGAATATGCAGAGATGCCACCCTCCTCCAGTATGGCACCGCAGAATAAGCTTGGGGAACCGAGTGAGTTCACCCGAAATTGTTCCGGGCTGTTTGCTGGGTGGTTCCCCAGATAGGGGAGCTTGGAAGTCGATGGAGCTTGGAGATGCTTGAATCTTGGGTGACAATTCTCACCGAAAATGACCAGACAAACTGCAGCCGGTCTTGTCCACCTGAAAATGCAATCCTTTTTCGACTTGGTCAAGAAGGAGTTGCATCCACGAAGCAAAGCAACTTGTGTGTCGTGAACTACAGAGATGTCGTATTTTTCTTTGGAGGCAGAAGCTGGTGACGGTAAACCAAGGTTCGCCCGTTCGATCGACCACAGAAGGTATCGGATCAAAGAGCTCTATATCTCCATTTCCTTTGTGGGTTTCATAAAAATCCAATCAGACGCAACAGATGTTTGTGTATCAGTTCGATGCACCTGATGTCCAGAAAACAACCATGGGATCTCATTTAACCGGGAGAGGAGATTTCCAGGTTACTCTGACCTGGTGCTTGCAGTAGGACATGCAGTGCTCTTCGTGAGAAAATGATGCCAGCTGCACAGTGAGGACTGCCCTGAAGACCTTGCCCCTCACAGAGTTGAAGGGCACGGTACTTTTTCGCCGCCTGGACAGAAGTTGTTGGGTTTGGAAAGGAAGAAGTGCAGAGGCTACTGAGGGCCAGAAGTGTTTGAAAGAATCCTGTCAAGCCGAGATAACGCGCATCAGCGGCCGTTTCATGATGTTTCTGCCGCGGGCTACGCGGCCGTCAGTTCCACTGATCCACTATAGTTCTGGTTCGTTTCAATCTATGGGCTTTGACAAGGAGGCCTGCAGGCCTGCGGCATATTGGTAGATTCCCCAGGGAGACATGCAGGGAGACAGGGAAGAACTGTGATAGCAGGATAGGAAGAACTGGGCGTGTTTGGTGTTTAAACACCCAGAAACTGCATATCTCGCTCCCGTATGCCTGGACTCAGGAAACATCTCCTTCACGTATGCCTCACGCCCCAACGAGCCCATCCTACGAGGCACGGAGACGAGTGGGACGAGTTAGTGCTTTCGCTGCAGTATTTGGAGCACCCGGAGACAGCAAAGAGATCAAGGTGGTTTCTTCGACAAGCGTCATCGAACTTGTTAGTCTGTTAGTCACTTTGTTCATGTTTTGTGTTCTCTCGTGCGGAGACCGGCAATGATTGGAGAGTTCAGTGGTCCATGTTTTGTTTTCTCTTCGCCTGAAGCTCCTTCAACAGATCAGACTACTGCGCTAGCATGCTGCTATGACATTCAAAGCCTGTTTATATAATGGAAAGCAATTTGCTTTTGTTCTGAACTTATCAAAATCTGAAAACAACAGCAGAGTTGCAAACACGCGTTTTGAGATGCAGCATCATTTCATGTTCCAACATGTTGTACGACCGGGTTCTACTTTCCCATGTGACACTTGTGAACATTGCAGGCTAACCACCCACTAGCTTTTGAAGCGAAGGTGTGCTTGCACCATCAGCTTTCCTTTGCACACCAGAACTGTTGTCTGGTGTTTCAAGCGGCTCTCATCAAAGTCTTGTCCAAGCTCTCTTGACTTCATGGAGTCCAAGCAGCTTCATCGTTTCTCACCCCGTTACTGAGGACGCCACCCCTGTCGTGAATCCCCGTGTCCTCACGTGAGGAAGATATAGCGTGTCCAGTTCACCTGGCTGCCCCATGGGGCCCATGTCCTCGATTCAGTCAGTCTTTACCCCAAATATACCCAACCCCATATCCTCTATAAAATGAGGGCTACTGTAGCAAGACTCCCCCACCCATATGGTGATGGGTATCCAAAAATGTTTGCCTTCCTTATCTACACATCACGTCTTGTGAAGCACCGGATGAGATAGTGCGGGTCCATGGATTCATGCGCCCCAGGAGCTTCCGGAACCGGAACTGGAAGATCGGTTCTTCTGCGAAAGGTGTCAAGACATGAAAAGCTGTACTGCGCAGTACATAGCTCATCGACATCGGTCAGGAATCGATCTAGAGCTTCCTCCAGGAAAGACTACGGCCTTGGTGAGAATCCCAGGAAGCAGCAGCACAGTGCTTTGCTACTCCCTGGAAGCTGGGATGTGCTTTGCTACTCTTTGGTGGAGCAGAAACCCAGTATAAACGTGAAGCTCAAAAGTCTTGAGATGTTGACAGGCACTTCTGGAGATCTTGGCTCATCTTAGCTCCGGGTAATCCTTAGAGATACTTTGCAACCACAAAATAGCTTGACACTCGGGTCAGATGGGTGAGATCTGACATGATCTGACCAATATCATCAGCTCTTGGGTTCCTAGCTCGTGGGTCACCAGACTGGCTGAGGTTGGTGCCTCCGGGAGCGGGAAAAGCACCATTTCCGCGCTCTTGCAGTCGGGCATCCCAGATTAGAAGATGATGTATATGTATATATAGTACTATAAAGTCAGGCTACTGGCACGGAGCAACAGCCTGCAAGAAGCGCAAAGTAGTGAGAATAAAGTATATTCTGACATATACTGCAAATATGTAAAAAAATAAGGTCTACCTGGAAGTACTCGGGATTATCCAACGGGCATGGGCAATCTTGAGGGCAACTCAATTAGCTCATTCACGCCAGCTGCTGAGCAAAGCGGACCTGAAGAATCAAAGATTTGCAAGCGGCTCACCTAAATCATTCTGAATCCGTTCGACCTAAACAAGATTGCATCAGAATCAACACAAGAGTGGATCAGGACAAACCTTTGTTCCGTCCGTGGTTCCGAAAAGGAATTGGGTTGAATGTCATGCTCTTGTTTTACACTTCCAACTGCTCAAAAGCGACAGGAATCTGGTCCCAATGCTCGGTCTCTCAGGTCCATCGTTTCCGGATGTCCATCGGAATCCCCTGGGGGAGCCACCGAAGACCACACACATTTGTAAGGCCCCCACTTGCATGTCCCGCTTCGCCCTTGGAGAAAGTGCTCCTTTGTTTCAACAGCTGGAGAAAGTAAACCATTTCTGTCAGCAGCTAATCTCAATTGCAGAGAGTGCCGCAACAAAAGAACAGCGAGATGAACATAAAACAGTTTGATCATGTGGATCGCTGATTTAACATAATATATCATAATATACAATAATCTATATTATATAATATTATATATATATACATATATGTATATTATTGTGTGTCTGATAATGTTTCTTTGGCTTCAGGCGATGGTATGAGCCTGATGCCGGGCAGATCCTCTTGGACGGTCTCTCGGCTGGATCCGGCCGACTGTCGAAACGGGGACGGGAATCCGTCCTGAGAACCAACAAGACAACAGGCTGAGCCGTGTTCGTACCAAAGATCAGCCGTTTTCGTGCCAAAGATCGAGTGCATTGTGTAAATTCTTTGTTTTTCTTTTGTCTTCTCCGTGACTCATTGGATTGGGGATGATTTGGGTTGTTGTCCCATGGACTTGTGTGCTGAAATGCGGGTGCTTGATCCTGCCCACGGACTCAGGTGTCCCCATTGACGACCTGGATCCTCGCTGGTTCCGTTCCTTATTTGGCGCTTGGGATCTCAGGTGACATTGGACAAGGAAAGCTAATAGCAAGCAAACCTAATAGTAATAGTAATCGTCTCCAACCTAGAAGCAGTGGCATCCACCCTAGAAGGGATGCCCTTGTTACTAGTTACTAGTAGCTTCTAGCTACTACTGTAGTAGTAATGCCCTTGTTCCTAGTAGCGATGCCCTTGTTACTAGTAGCAGTGGCCTCCCTAATAGCGATGGCCTGTAACGATTCCAATCATCTCCCACCCCTCCAGGTTCATCCTTTGAGGCGCCCACAAGATCTTTGGTTTTTCATGTTTTTTCTGATCGAAGCTGATGGTCGACGAAAAGAACCCATGTTCAGTGGAGCTCTGACTGGCTGGGACAAGATGTAGACGGATTGTATGGCTCAGCAAGGTGTCCTTCCCCTTCTAAAACATTCAGTTAGGAGGTAGCAGTGTAGCAGTGTAGCAGTTAGCAGAGGAACATTGGGGCCACACAACTCTACAGTCCGCATTCAATGGTTTCCTCCAAATGGGCTGGCAGTGTCAATCGTCAATTATTTCAGATGGCTTTTGTACTTGGGGCTTGTAAGTAGAAGCAACAAAAAAAGAACTAGATACGAGGCAACGCACGGCGCACGGGTGGCTCTCCGACCCGGAAACACCTCCACAACACACGGCGAGCAAAATGAGAAAACGACCGGTCAAACAGATGGAATAGAACATGTGGCTCCGATTCGACTTGAGAGGAAGAGTCAGTCTCAAGTCGTCCTCCAAGTGCTTTTGATCCCACCGTGGACGTCGTTTGGTTGGACCAAGCCGATGCCAAACGGCTCACTGCTCGGTCGATGAGATCCTGCAGGTGGTTCCTCAAGAGCCTCGACTCTTTACAGCCACGGTCTGGGAGAACATTGCTCTAGGACTTGGACCCTTGTGACTTGGCGCGTAAAATCCGCCTTTGTTCTCAACCGATGTGGGCAAGAAGATGCAAGAAGTTGAAACTCTAGAGATGTTCTAGAGGTATCTCCGTGATATACAACAAAGCCTCCGTTTTATATCATAGGGGGTGGCAAAGCAGCTTTGGACAGTCCTTTTTCTCACTCCGGAACCCCAGGAACCAAGAGATTGCTCGGGAAGGTGCGGAAGGGCGGCGCAGTAGGTCAGCGTTTTGAGATGTGGGTATCTTTGTCCCATAAACAGCAGGAGATGATGATATATGATGGTTTTTACCGCAAGTATCCAGAGTTCTATGCCTATTATGTAATTACACACATACTGTATACATATATATATATATACAGATGTACATTGCATATTGGCTATTAAATGAATTCGAACACAGGTGAAGGGCTCTGAAACAGTATTTGGTGGCAATTTCTCCCGCGAGGTGGCCACGACATCCCTTCCCCCAGCCCGAGGTTTTGTTTCTCGTTTTGTGGTCACTGTGTTGGCGAGGAGCAGGATCCCAACTTGCCTATTTTACAACAACTGGAAACACCCAACAACTGAACACTTTTGTAACAACAGTCAACAGGATCCCATAAGTGGTGTTTTCTTTTTACCGCACTTTTGAGAGCTTGGGATATGATATATGTGATGAAGCAATGTGAACTCTTTGGATCTCTTTGGATCGCCCACCACAGTGTGGGCATTGTTTACGGGCTGATTATCTTGGAGTTGGGATCAAGACCACCGACTGGACCCGACGACCGACTGGACCTTCGCTCACAGCCGGAGGTTTGAACTTGGAGACCATCGATGTGGACTCCGTGTCGCAACTCGTGCGTCGGGGAGCCCACGGAGTGACGGCCCGTGCGGTGGTTGGATGGAGTGAGTAGCTTCTTGCTACTAGTAGCGATGGCCGCCAACCTACTTGCGATGCAGGATGTTCAATATTCCCACACTTTGTGTGGAAGGTTGTCGACATCTGCAAACATAATGACCATATTATATGGCCATGATCCTGTGCTAATTAGGGTGCCACACGTAAAGGGGTCATGCATGTTCATGCTGGCTCTAGTCAGTGGGTCCCGTAGATTGTCATGTGGATGAGCATAGTCCACATTTCGTTGGGTTCACGGTTCACTGGATTGATTTGATCGTCGGCATTGGGTTCATCGTCGACAACTTGGATCAAACATCGATAGATGTCCACGTCTTTGTCGGATCGGAAGATTTTCTACCTAGACTTCAGGATGACATCCCACGCGGTAGCAAGGGGATTCACTACTACACGAACCCTCTTGTATTATCTTGTATTTGGTGTCTCTGCTCTTGGAGACCATGAGTTTGCGCTTGTGCCAATTTTAAAGTGCCTTTTCCTTTACTGGTTGGGCATTAGGTATAGCCCTCGCAACACTGAGGGACAAAAACACAGTTGTTCATCCTGTTTCCTAGTAGAAAACATCTCACTTTTCTATACTTTTTCTCACATCAGACCATGTCCATGCCCCCTTCCAGTGATATGGCGACGTGGCGATACCAAGAAGTCTTTCGTAGAAGAACTCATCTCCTGGGATAAGGGATGATAAGGGATTGAGGCCTGAGGATCAGATCGTGCAGGAAGCCCTCCCAACACCCCTCAGGCGAGGCCGCGGAAGCCGCCGACGCGCACGGCTTCATCTCCGCGCTGCCCGAGGGTCGCCCGAGGGCGTTGGCGTTCGGCCCGTCGCGGCGCCCGAGGTAACTTCTTCACAACTGGCGGGACCGATCAAGAGGATCTGAATCTGATTTTTCAAGTTTGGATAACATTTTGTGCATAGGGATGTCGAAAAAGCACACTTGTTCAATCACTAGGTCCAAGGTCAAGATGTTCCTGGGCATCGCTACTAGGAGCAAAGGGCATCGCTACTAGGAGCAAGGACGTTACTAGGGCTCCTGGCGTTACTACTGGGAACATGAATCTACTAGTAACAAAGATCGATAAAGATCGGTTGGCCAATTAACTCAGCCCTTTCTGGAGAGATCCAGTTCATCGACCAGGCTATGACACCATGGTGGGCGACGTCCGCCTTTCAGGAGGGCAACGGCAGCGTATCGCGCTGGCCCGGGCATTGGCCGGGCAGCCCGAAGGGACGGAACATCGGCCTTAGAATGGCGGGAGGTGCTTGTCTTGATGTCTTGACCTTAGGTTTCCCGGACATATATAGTTATATATACATATATTATTTACATATATATATATATGTAAGTGTATATGTACTTGTTGTAGACTATAGACTCTAGTTACTCTAGTTGCTAGTAGTTGCTATATATTTGCTATATATGATGGAAATCCAAAGTGATCCTGGGAACCACTATCTCGTGTTTTTTTTTTTTTTTCTGGCGATGTGCGTCAAAGTGTAGAGACCATGATGCAAAGGCCCCCATTCCTGGAACGAATGAAATACCGTATATATATATTATGATATGATGTGATATGATATGATATACAGTTATTAATTTGTTTGGGGTCTCCCCACATGACTCCCATCTCAGGAATATGTCAGAATACCGTTTAGGTTTAGGCTAAATAGGCGCTTCATATGTGCTTGTCATCGCTCGAGTGTCCGTTGCTGGCTCACCAAGCTTTGGAAATTCAGCAAGTTGGACTATTCATATTTGGGTTTTAGACACATGAGATGATTCCACAACACATACAACCACTGACTGGGTGCACTCATCTATGCCCCCATAGATGCAATGTTTAACTTAATTGAAGCACCTCTTTGGAAGTCTTCACGAGGTCAAGCGACCACGGTTCCTCATTCTAGATGAGGCCTGAGGGACCACAAGCGCTGCGGACGCGAAACGCATGCGTGCGTGTTTTTGCCACACGTGAGGTCATGTTCTGTGCCGTTCGATTGATGGATTTGCTGCAGAGAAAGCGATTTCAGATCGCACTTTGGTATTTACCCTGGTTTCCTCAAGGTAACACATGGGCATTAGATCATTTTGGGCGGTGAGTTGGGCCACTTGTGACATGGCCTAAAGAAAGTTGGGTGGAGTATTTGATAACGTTCAATATCCATGTGCATTTGTACTTCGATGTACAAATGGGTCATGTGTGAAGAAAGTCCAGGTGAATCGTCGCTTTCGGCAATGGAGGCCACTTCAGCATTGGATAGCCGGACTGAAGCAGCGGTGCAGGCGAGCTTGGGACACAGAGATGTCGTTCTTCCCAGAGGCACGCATGAGAAAGCATAGCGCATACCGTATACCCCACTTCAGTATGCAACATCGCATACACTCTTGATTAATAGCCCCCATTAGCCACCCCGTTTGGATTGTAAAACCTCTTTCATACCAGGGGCTTGATGAATCAAGAGTCTATGCCGCGCACAACTACCAAGGTTCGCTGCGCAACCTTTCGACCTTCCAAGTCACCGACTGGAATCAAAATGAATACAGTAGGTCCTAGGGTTTTTGACCCGCGTGGTCAACATGGATCAACTGAGCAACCGGTGATTGGACCTCGAGCTGTCCTATTGCAGGCTCTACTTGTTGAATTCGTCACTTGTGGAATCTACCATAGGTGTTAGATTTGTGTTAGTTTTCCGGGTTTGGGGATTGTGCTACAACATGTTTTTACATGTTTTTACCATCTATGAGCATTCCGCGTGATCTGATCATTCCGGGGTCACTCATGTTGACTGGCGCAAGTGACTGGTGGGATCGGTCTGAATTGGCCCATCCGATGGCTGATTTCGAACACGGAAGATTGATGTAAATTCGTTGCTTCTCCTTAACGGGTTCAAACATTCATAAGCATTTGGCTGGTGGTTCAGAGAGTCTTATATATAACCTACACTTGGGATGATTCAGATTTTGCAAGTGAGTTGATACCTCAAACCAACCATATGAAGTTGCCCGTGGTTTGGGAGTCCCACCACATGGCAACACAGACATCACATGACCCAACTCATGCCGACAAGACAAAACATTTGTTGGACGCCCGCGGGGGCGAAGGGTAGTAACAACATGGCCTCCAACCTCTAGTAGCGATGGTCTCCAACCTACTTGCGATGGCTTCCACCAAGCATAGCGTCCGAACGCTACTAGTAGCTTCTGGTTTCCTTCTTTTTCTTCAATGCACCAGTCGCGGTTTCCTGAAAGTGCAATGTTGCCTCTTGTTCTGCCAGAAAAGCGTGAACGCGTACCTCAAGCAGAGGCATGGGGAGAGCAAACCTATCTCCACGTAGCCACGAGTCAGATGAGGAACACGGGGTTTTACAGTTGTTTTCACAATCGGTGGTTGGTCTCAAGATGGTTGGTCTTGCAGGATGTTCATCCCAGAAAAGCATCCACAATCCCGCATGTGCAGCCTATGTCAAGGGGTCTCGAAGACGCCAACGACGGTGTCGACCCAAGTAATCCTTGAGATTTGTTGCAGAATAGGACAATTCTGCAATTCTGCAAGGGGGTATATGGAGCTCATTTGTTTTATCTTGAACTGGTCAGACTTGAAGCAATATGACAAATTGCTTTAGCATCATGCAGCGTGTCGAAAGGCCAAATACCTTGCTTCGTCTTCGAATCAACTCCCAGTAGATGATCAATCATGATAGCACATCGGATACTTGCAAGTGTTCCTTGTCCCAGACACTCCAGGCATGACCTATTTACCTACATTGGGGTGGAATGTAGGATACTGTAGGCATATATATTCCATACATGGAGGGTTTCTGTGTTAGGCTATAGGGTTCGGCATTTGACGAAGCAATCTGCCTTGTCCTGCAAACGGTGCAGCTCCCCTTGCTGTTCTTCTTATAGTGATCTTGTGTGTATTTGTTTGTATTTCAGTATTTCAAGGAAGTATCTCCTGTGGGCTGTGCCTGATCTCTAGAATAGTTATGGCACCAAGTGGACCAAAGCCCGCTGCCTTGGGTACTGGATGCGGAGGTTTGCGTCATGCTTGGTGATCGCACATCGTTTGAGCACCGTGATGGATGCTGACAAGATCGTCGTTTTGGACAAGGCGGGCTGCGGGCTGTTTGAGCGAGCCACGGACCTCCAAGCCACATTGTCATTCGTCCTAAAGCTGTGCACATGTGGAGTGTCTCTCATTTCTAGAAGAATCGGTCCTTTAGGCTTCCGGTGTGATGCTTCACTGGTTGGTTGAAATCGTTCACGGGCAAAATGAAAACTGCCACACCTTCGCAGCTGAGCTGTTTTGATGCTTGACAGCTCAGGGCCGGATTGCAGAAGAAGGCAAACACCAGGCATGTCCGATTTGTTTTCTGGCTTTGGGAGGGATGGTTGGAGGGAATCCAAGCATGAGGACTTTGGACTTTTTGGAGATTGTTTTTCCGGCCTTGAGGACGTTCGAAAGAGACACACAATGATCCATGGCATGTTGATTTTTGTGTTTGTTCTTTAGCAAAATGGCACACCTAGTTTCTGGACTGGTTGTGGCATCCATCAAGCTGCGATGCTGCCCTACCATGCCCTACCCCAAAAGATCCTTTACACATAGGAAGGAAAGGTCATGGATTTGGAAGCAAGGACCAAACGATGGTGGAACATGTCTCCAAATCCGATGAGCCCTGCTCAACATTGCCCTGCCTGTATTGTAAGCAATTGCATGTAGAGGTGTCTTCAAGATTCCACTGCACAGTGTGGTCTATGCAAGATGCTACATGTTTATGCCCTTTTCAATTGGTGACTGTGGCATTGTCTAGCCAAAGCTAACCTTGCATTTTCCCCCTTTTTCATTTCGCTTCCCTGAGAAGACCTGAAGGTCATAGGCCGAATGGACGAGACGCCGTCTTCGCCTTCAAGCCGTCGTGACTCGTCCATCCTCGTCCATCCTCTTCGCCTGCGATGGTGAGGCCCTCATGCGGAAGCGTGGCATTTATGCGAAGCTGGTCGCCGTGCTTAGCGTGAACATGTTTTTTTTTTGAGTTGCAACGCCTGCTCAAGTGGCCTTTCTTGGGGACAGCAGATCTCTTTTTCGTAGCTGCGACATCTTCATGTCGGATTCCTTTTTGTTGTTGTTTGTTTGATGTTGGTGAATATGTTGATTTGCCCAATGGTTTGGCCACAGGTCGTGCCCTTCATGAGATCCAAGTCGCGACACGACCTGACAGTTGGTCATTGATCAATGTTTCAATTCCTCTCAACTGAATTGATACCGTTCTTGACATAGCTACAACAAGTTCATTGGGTTGAGGTTCTTTGCTCTTTGAATGGTTCCTCATCAGGAAGGAGTGGCTAGAAACTGCAGGACCTTTTCCTGCACAGACTTGCCTACATGGACTATTACAACGCTCAACTACTCAACATCCAATCCAAGGATCTTCCGCCATTAAAAAGAGACAGATCACACGTCGGCAGACCAAGCCATTCACCAAGCCATTTATATAACTATCTTTGTTCAAGGACCTTTTTGTTGTTCTTTCATTGGACCCCTTGAACCCCCCTTTGCGCCTCTGCGTGATTCAGCCGGGCCGCTGTTGAGGTCCGCGGTGGGGGCGGACGGGGCATGCTGCGATGAGACCGCGGGCCATGGGTGCACCATGGATGCAAGTGAAGAGAAAAAAGGATGTGCCAACGAGGTCGGGCAAGTTTGAAGGGATGGTTTCTTTTGATGATTCATGGGTCGTGACCCAGAGGTAGGTCACCCACAGCCACATAGCCTTGACATTGGGTGAGTCGCTGGTGTTTTCACGTTTGTGTGAACAATGGTCAGTTTGTCATGGGTGGGAGAGATGCTATGTGAAGGAAACATGCTTATCCTGTTTGTGAATTCTGCGTGTGTCCCTTTGTATGGCACTGTTATGTTACAAAACATCATGAGGAAGTCTCGCGCTGCTACAGTACCAGACCATGCTATATTTATCTAGCCGAATCCGCGATCGACCGGCTCTGACCGGCGACCTGGATCTCCACGGCCCCCGCGACCGGTGAGAGGACTGAGACCCATGGAGACCCATGTGACCAAATTGACCCCTCGATTTCCATTGATTTCCCTTTAGGACATCATTGCTTTGCTGATTTTTACAGCGTTCCCCTCATGCAGGTGGGTTCCTCCGTCGCGTCACTGTTCAGTGGCTTCAACACGGGTGATTGGTGGAAGCCCAGGCGTGGTGGATGTCCGGTAAATTCCGACGTCGTGTTTGGAATAGGCCGACACGATCCGACGTCCCCCAAAAATGATTTGACCAACTTTTTTTTTTTTCCGTGCTTTGCTGCACGGGCTGCACGGCTATTTTTTGAGACCAAAATGAGCAAATGCGCGCCAGCATTTGAAGAGAACCCAAAGGAAAAACATGCATGTGTTGCAGATAAAAACAACTTGAGGCAGTATTTGCAGGATCATCAGAAACAGGATTTGGAGAGTTTGAAGATTTGTCAGAGCCTGGGGAGTTGGGGTTAGTTGCATCGAGCCCGTTGGAGTCTTCCACAGATCATCACTTAAAACACTAGAACCAAAAAAACACGAAAGGCACCGCCTTACTAGGCCGCCTTACCGCCTTCCGAGTCCTTTACAAGCACTGTGTGTGCTCGTTTGTTTCGCGTGATCGGTTCGAATCGGTTCGGACCTCGTGAGGCCGATCCTCGCGGAGGTGGACCGCGGGGCTCGATGTGTGGTCACGTTGTGATCGAAGAAAGACCGAATTTGTTGTCAAAGAAATGGAATGGCAGAAACCAGGAAAGAATCCATGTCAAAAGTAGGTGCATCTGTGGTATCTAACCTTGTTCTGTTTCTTAAAGCTACCGGTACCTGGACTTGACTCGTCGTTGTTGAATGGCCGGGCCGGCCTAGTGACTCACACCCTTCATGTCTTTAAGTTGAAACGTGAAGTTGCAGCTAAAGGTTAATTCCAACAGGAAATGTTGGTGGCAACAGCGACCAAAAGAAACTGTATACTGTATACGTATGGGGTATGACAAGATGAGGCCTTCCTTTACCCTCCTGTTCTGTCATGCCATGTGATGTCTCAGGTTCGCTTGTTTCACTGAAAGTGCCATTCGTTGGGAGTTGTTGATGGCATTTCCCCCGAAAGAGTGACAAACAAAACCATGGTCCCGTTGGTTGTTGGGGAAAATGCAACAACTCAGAGGGTTTAATTTGAACCCTGGTACACAATAACCTTCGGACATGTTCATTTGCAGATTCCTCGCCAGTGGTAGTGGCTTTGCCAAAGGAGGGCGCGTTTTTGGAAGGGCAGCTTAATCTAGGCTAGCAGCATCCATGCGACTTTCTGGTCATGCAAATGTGTGTATGATGTATAATTATATAATACTATATATATTTGATTGTTCCCGGAAGTGGAAACAGATTCAAGACTGTCTCACCCCCGGGAAGAACACACCCAACCTCTCCGTGGCCCACACCCCGTGCCACTGAAGCATCGGAGGTGAAGCCATCGCCTTCGGCGTGTCCCAGGCGGATCGGTCCGGTCCGGTCTGACCTGGAAGGAGCCACGCGCGGCGCAGACGAGATAGTTTAGTCGCTGACTTGGACAGAATTTTATAAGAACTTATAAGGCCTGAACAAAAACGGCCTGGGCATCGCACCAGGGATTCGACGATTGAAACACTTTAGGCCCAAAGGTAAAAAAAACACATATTAGAATATATTAGATATGAAGGTGTCAAGTATGAAGGTTTCATCTATTCATGAATTCTCACAAGATGAATTGCTTGTAAATGTGCCAGCATATCAAGTGTTTTGGTTTCTTTTCGTGTGCCACATGTCGGGAAGGTGTGGCCTCCAAATGCCAAGAGCCCCTGGGGCGAACTTCTGCGCCCACTGCAGCTTCCGTGTGACCTGAAACTCGAGGACTCCAGGCGAGGTCGAGCCACTTCCGGGGACATGGATTTTCAGAAGTTCATGGGAGGTTATGGGAGAATGTGCAAACCATGCAGAACAAGAGAACGTTAGAGCTTAGGATTGCATTTTTCACAGAATTCTGGGATAAAGAGTTGGATTGTTTGTGGGAGTAACCTGGCTTTGGCTGAAGAGCAATACAAGCAGCTTGTGTGCGCAGCGCTGTTGTGGAGTATGTTGAGACTTTATGTTGGACCGCGTTTTCGTCTCAGAGGCTTTTTTTATATATATTTTTGAGTTTGGATGAGCACTGAGCACATTACTGCTTGAAAGGGCTTCAATCTGGCTCGTGGCTTCTTGTTTTCGATGGGCTTATTCAACTAACCAAGCTCAGCCAGTCCTCCCGACATTTGCCGACACAGTTTGTTAGGAAGAGTGCGTTGCACCTGGACAGATGGGTGAATTCTGGATGCTTCCAACCACCCAGTTGAGCTCAGAGCTCACTCACATGCCAGGTGATTCTTTTGAGCTGGGTATTTGTGGACAGTGCGGCATCAAAAGCTGCCTCACGCACCTGTACATACCTTGACCGCGCGCGGTACGCGGCAATGGATCCTGGAAAACATACTATCTCACGGCCTGTGGGGTCTTCATTGGAACACTCACAGTGCTGTTGGTCACGCTGGAGGAAGGTGATTGTATGCGAGATCTAGAATCTAGACACATTTGACACCTTTGGGCATGTCCCTGTTTAATCACATTTTACATCCTTTGAAGGCTGCTACACACAGAGCCCTTAGTTGCTTCAGAAGCTTTGTACCCGGATCATTCACATGGACCTTCCAGCACCACGACATGATGTCTAGATTCACAGCAGTTTGCTTCAGTGTATGTCTATACAAGCACCTTCCAACAAGTCTTGTTTGGAGGGTTGTTTGGTCCTTCAATTTAAAAGGTCTGAATTGGTGACCTTTTGGAGTGTCCTGGTACAAGGACCATTTCCACCCGAAACTTGCAAGTCACTTTGGCTCACCCCTGGCCTTGGTGCCACTCCTATCCTGACAGCGGCAAACAGAACCGCCGGATTCGTGGCGCCCGCCCCGCGGCCCGCGGCGCGATGGACCTCAGCTCCAAATCCATGGAGGAGACCTAAGTTGGGGGGATTTGTCTTCTAGGAGTGCCGGGCTGGCAGCTCAACTGAGTGGAAGACGCAAGCTATGATTCTGATACTTAAGAGGCCCAGTTCATCCAGCTTCCAGCAGGAACGTGTGGATTTGGAAGAAAGTTGGAGAAGAAGTGCAAGTGGCGTCTGGCAAGACCCAGACAATCTATAATCTAGATGTCGGGATGGCACAATGATGGATATCCATACCAAGAACTGTGGACGGTCGCAGGTGCTCAACCTATAGTTTTCATAAAGGAACATCCTTAGCCGGAATTTAGATATTTGTGAGAGGATAGTCTACAATCTGAGAGCACTCCCAAGAAAAACGCACACATCGTGGACTGGTGCACCTGTTTCAGGGCTTTTAGACGTCGCCAACTGCGGTCGCAAACCGCTAACCATCGGACGACTCTCGGAATCCGATGAAGCTCTTCGACCAAACGGGAAACGACAACAACAACAACAAGAACAACAACACCCTTTTTTGCTACAAGTAGTTTCTTGTTAATTGTTGCGATCCAACCTACTTGCGATGGCCTCCACCTAAGAGCGTCCTTGCTTCTCCCATCGGGCGCCATCGGTCCTTGCTGTCAGAGGAGCTGTTGAAGATGCAGAGTGAGGCCGTGAAGCACGTGTTGAGCATCAACCAGGCCCCGCTTCAGCTCCGCTCGGCCTCCAAAAAGAATGGTTTGGGTTCGGTGGGGTGGTGTGTGTGTTGGTCCTCTTGGTTGTAGTTTTTCCTTGTTTTAATTGTAAAGTTATTTTGGGATGTTTTTGGGCCACTCATCTTGGTTTGGGCAGCTTTAAGGTGATTTGTTCGAGCTGTTCGGCTACCCCCGTGTTCTTGGCAAGTCCAGTGTCTCCGATCTGGTCTCGAAGTGCAGACAGGTCGACTCGGTTTTGGGCCGCCATCGTGCGTTTGTACATCGTGTCTACAAGAATACATGGCTAGTTGTGGGCGGCGGTACTCTGCCGGTGTTTGTCGTAGACTCTTTTTGCTTCTCAGCTGTTAGCTGACATCTATATAGTATAGTTGTATACCTGGGAACTCCGCCTCTGCAAAATTTACGCGTGTTTCCGAAACACAAAGAATTTACGTCGCTTCAATAGAGAAACGCGGTTTCAAAAAAAAAACGTTCGTTCATGCCGGTTCCTGCTCAAGTAGTGGGCAATCAGACGACGTACGACAGATATCCAAACAATAAAGATCATCATGTTCAAACCCTTGACCCTTCTGAGCAAAGAGCATGTTAAGCCAGCAAATCCAAATACTTGCTAAAATCCTTGGCCCTTCTAATAACCAGCAAATCCAAACACACATGTCTCCATCTTTGTTTTCCTTTGCCGCTGCAATGGTCTCCACTTGTGTGGAATCCAAAGGCGAGTGAACTTAAGCGGCCAGTCGTTGCTTTTTGTTTTGCACAGCACGGTCGTACAGAAGCCCCGCCTTGATTAAGTAGTTGGTCAAGACCCTCACTCCCATGACCCTGTGGTCGATCTTGCGGGCCATCCGGCATACTCGGCCTATGAAGTCCTCGTTCTGGGAGCAATCAAATAGCAAAGGGTTCAACAGCAATTGGTTTTGTCGGGCCAATTGA